TCTCTCTGCCCCTCCTCCGTTCATGCTCTGTCTCTCTCTGTCCCAAAAATAAATAAACGTTGAAAAAAAAAAATTTTTTTTTAAAAAGAAATCTATTGCTACAGATTGAATTTAGCATTTCTTTTCTGCCTCCAATTATAGTCATCGTTTTAGAAGCAGGCTTATACAGTATGAGTAGAGCTGTCGATGTACCTGTTTGTATAAATGTACATAATATGCTTGGTATAAAGTGTTTGCAGAGATCCGATGCTTGAGATTTTTATGGGTGCATTGATTTTTTGTGACAGTTTTATGGCTGCAGATATACGGAACGAGGAACATAAAAATGTGTTTGTTTGCCTTTCCTGTAATTTTTTCAAAGCTGATTTAAAAAACAAAAATCACAGGCCCATAGGTAAGGTAAGTAACCCACGTGGTATTTGCAGATTCATGGTTAAAGTGGGCAAGCCAGTAAACATTTATCTACTGCTTTATGTTTCTTTTTACTTTTTCACATGTGACATAGAGTATGTAATTCCCAGGGATGATGTTTCTTCATAATGGAAACACTGAGCATACACTTTTCTGTCCTTCACTTTTATGTTAATACCACACTCAATAATTCTCTGTAAATTTCCCTTTGTATCTGATACTTTAAAAAAAAATATTTTGAGAGGGGTGGGAGAGAGAGAGAGACAGAGAGAGAGAGAATTCCTAGCAGGCTCCACGCGTTCAGTGCAGAGCTCATTGCAAAACTCAATTCCACAAACTGTGAGGTCATGATCTGATCTGAAATCAAGAGTCTGACACAACTGAGTCTGACCGACTGAGCCACTCAGGCACCCCTGTATCTGATACTTTTAATTATTTCTTAAGAAATGTTAAAATAATTACCAATTCATCTGCACTTCTTAGATAATTAATAAATATCTGATACTTGTTAAATACCAGTTTGTTAAATTCAGTTTATTTATTCTACATTTCAGTGAGCGCCTACTGTGCACATGGTGGGTGTATGCTGTTAGGTCCCTTGAGAGCTCCATAGGTGAATTCAGGAGGGTCACTGTCATTAATAAGCATACGAGGAAAGATAAATTGAAATAATTCTAATGCAATGTGGAGTACAGTGAGGTCATAAAAAGAGCCAAATAAAAGGATGGGATACTAATAATAGAAGATTTCCTAGAGAGATGTATTATATCCCCATGTTCTCAGTTGCCTGCCAAAAAAATCCCACCTGAAGTGGAGGGACATTCTCTGCCCCTCTCTCCTTGGCACCAACACCCACTCTTTTAAAGGAGCAGTCCTTTCTAAATCCTGGAATGATTTGCAGCATTGTAAACTCCTGGAAGAAACACTCTATTAAATCTAAACAATACATAACACGTATAGATTTTTAAAATACATCTCTTCACATGTTTCCAGCTGTAGCCATGGCTGATTTTGAAGATAAAGTCATTAGGTATCCATTTCTGAACTAGATTATCTGGTATTGAAGCAGCATTCTAGGTGGGCCGGGGTGGGGGTGGGGCGGGTAACTCATTCTTATGTCATGATGGCATGGCATGAGAATTCTCATTTACTCTAGAGGAATGTCTAATGCACAGCTAAGCCAACTCACTTCCTATATGGGAGCACATGATGCTTGCTGGCCAGTCAGTGCATGCTGGGAACGTGGGTCTGCATTAAATTGGCATTTAACCATTTTTGAATAACTAGGTGCTCTGTGACTACTGTGTGTCACTAGTTATTTTCACTGAACAAAGATAAGTTCTACATGTTGAGATTATTTTGACTTTTTCAGTCTTTTCCTTGTGCACTTCTTATGGTTTGAAATAGTTACCACCTTAAATCAAAATATTAAAATTTTGAAAAGTTAATTGGTTCCGAAACTATTATGTTTGCTGTTTTTCAGTATGAAAGTTTTGTAATGTTGTAAAAAGATTATTTTCTACTTTAGAGAGTCAATATATTTACTTTGAAACCACTGGCTACATTAAAAAAAAAAAAAAAACCTTAAATATCTGGAGGAGTCGTTTATCTTTTAAAAATACTACATTGTTGGGAAACCTGACTGACTCAGGGAATGGAGCATATGACTCTTGCTTGACCTCAGGGTTGTGAGTTCAAGCTCCCCATTGGGTGTGGAGCTTACTTAAAATAAAAATTAAAAACAAATACTACATAGCCAAGATGTACATTAGTATCTTGGGTAACCATACTAAGTTAGTAAAAAGTGTGAGTGTATATATGTGTGTATATATACATATATGTGTGTGTGTTTATTTGTAAGTAAAAGGTAAATTTTAAAAATAAATGTAAGAAGAAACATAATGTAAAAATAAGACGTTATATAGATTGTCATAGCAAATTTTCATATAATGTATTGTCTTGGTAGATGCACTTTTATGGGTCTGGCAATTTTGCTGAAATAGTCAATTACTTCTTTAGGTAAGATAGTTCTGAACATTGTCAGAGAATAGTTTGGAATAACGACCTATGTGATAATTTTACCTTTCCCATGGATAAAAATTGCTAAAATGTCCAGAGGGCCCTAAACACCTGTCTTAGAAACTCTACCTTGTGCTCATAAGGAAATTTGTTCAATTCATTTGTTGACGCTGTAGGGTTTGGGAGAGGGAAGTGTAAAAGAGGTAATCGTCTGTCCTCCTCCCTGTGCATGTGATGCTGTCACTTTAACAAGAGGCATTTATCAATACCTAAGATTACATAACATAAATTTTTGGAAGCACCTAAATGAATAGGGCAAAGTATCTATCTTTAATTGATTTGTAGGCCATATCTATGTAAAATATGTTGTATAGTCTTTTTTTTTCCAAATTGAACATATTAGGGCCATATTTGGGGCTAGACATTATTCAGAGTACCTCCCTATGATGTAGCATATCTGTTTCCTGGTGTGTTGAGCTGCCTAGATGAGAAAAGTGCAAGGAGGTTCATGATAAAGGTTTAAAATGCATTTACAGAGGTCAATTTCCATTCTTCTCAGTAGAAAAGAAGAACACAGTAAATCCATATCAATAACTTCATTTATGATATAGAAATGCAGCAAAGCAGCCTATTAACTCATAAATGATTCTCATTTAAGAAGTGCCACAAATACCATGAAGGACAGAGAAATGATGACACAAAATAGTAGAACAGGAAAAGTACAATCAGGTCTGGAAAGAAGCATCAAGCATCCATGAAGTTAGCTTTGTACTCCATTATGGAGAAATTCTAAATTATCAAGCACATATAATTAATCCCAACAATATCTTCATGGCAGAGAGACCCATACTGGGTAACAGAGATACCAAATGATGATTTCATCTACTTATGTTTATGAAAATAAATAAATGCAGAAGAAAAGAGACACCTGCGTATCATGGAATTCAAGTCATTAAATAAAATTCTCGTGTTAAATAAAATATTAAGTTCACTTAAAAATGATGGGATAAGGGGGTCTTTTGAACGATAGGTGAGGTATTTTAAAAGGATTCAGCATTTCTGCTTTTAAGGAAGATGGGTTGGCCTCTGTATAGCTACTGTAGACAGCCTGTAGATAAGGCATTAATTTCCTATCTATGCATAGGTACAGAATCTCTACAACTGGCTTTTTTGACCTAAGAGAAAACCTGGATTGGACTCAGTTTGGAAAATACAGAACATGGTATTTAAATTGTTCTGCTGTCATGCTCCTGGCTTCTTCTCTATCCCTCATGCCTCAGAGTGCTGAGCAGATGGCTCTACAGTTGTGAACAGGGTCTGGGACAATCTCCCTGTGGGGCAGACATAAATCTTGCCAAAGGGATACAGAGAGAACTTTGTTGCTCAATTTTTCCATTTCCTGATTCTTGCTGAAATTGAAGGGGAAAACTATATTCCCCATGAAGCATTTAAAAAAAATTTTTTTTAATGTTTATTTATTTTTGAGAGAGAGAAAGAGAGAGACAAAGACAGACTGTGAGCTGGGGAAAGGTCAGAGAGAGGGAGACAGAATCCGAAGTGGGCTCCAGGCTCTGAGCTGTCAGCACAGAGCCCGGCTTGGGGCTCGAACTCACAAGCCACGAGATCATGACCTGGGGTGAAGTCAGATGCCCAACCAACTGCGCCACCCAGGTGCCCCTCCCCATGAAGCATTTACCCCTTCTCAATGGAGAATCCATTGATTCTCCAGATTCTTTGCCTCTTTCTTGAAAGTTTCAGAAAGAGATCCTGTTAGGCTTTTAAAATAAGTATTTATTAAAGTAAACATTTTTTCCCCTTCATCTTTCATAGAATAGGAACCACGGAACTGGTTTATTCATCTCCCATAAAATATTGAACTCATTCTGATGTGTCGGAAATGCTGGTAGCAAGCTGTTTTGCCAGCAGACAACCTGCTGCCCTCAGCAGCTGGAACCAGACATAGGCAAGAAGATGCTAGCTTTGATTTCCCTGACACAATACCTTTCTTCTTACCTTTGGACCTGTTCACACACTTCTCACTCCTGGGAGAGGGCATTCCAAACTTATAAGAATCCAAAGCAAATTCTGAAATCTAGTCTAGTTTCTACAGCAGTGGGGCATGATTTGAATCTACCATCACACTCTTGTGGAAATTTAGAAAATACTTATGAAAGAATTCATACAATTCAAAACTCAGGAAATGTGCCACATTATCACTTGTCAAATTCTCAGTTACTAAAACAGATGGAGTTTTGCGTGAATGACCTTCTCCTAGACAAGAAGAAGAAAATCCAGTAGGAAATCAATACCTATCTAAATTTATTTGCCTGCATTTTTCATACTGATTGTTTATGGCTAAACTGAGTCTAATATAATTACATCCATCCACTGAATGGTAAGTAGATCTTAGGATAAATAGTGACAATACATAGGACTCTAAGAAATGGCATGGCAATAATTCATCCTGTATATAATTATTGTTCTTCATTGGTCTTATTGAAGGCAATGTGGAGAATGAATGCAGATGCAGGTATGGCTAAGTTTCTAATGTTGTTATTCTGCTCTACCAGGTGCGTTGTAGAAGACAAGAACTCAAAGGTGGCCTGGTTGAACCGTTCTGGCATCATTTTTGCTGGGCATGACAAATGGTCTCTGGACCCTCGGGTTGAGCTGGAGAAACGCCATTCTCTGGAATACAGCCTCCGAATCCAGAAGGTGGATGTCTATGATGAGGGCTCCTATACTTGCTCGGTTCAGACACAGCATGAGCCCAAGACCTCCCAAGTTTACTTGATCGTGCAAGGTAAGAAAAGGTGGGATAGGTAGGTGGTAAGGGAGTGGTGAGAGAAAAAAAAATTAACATGATGTATAAAATATTTGCAAAACCCTTTCTGAGAAAACCTTTCACATGCATTTTTTTGTTTAAGTATCTATTTTTTCGCTAAAAGGATAGACTTAAAATGAAATGACTAAGGAGAAAGAGGAATCTTGCCACTGTGAGCCAGTACTCTTGGTAAGAATATTTTCTCCTAGGGGCGCCTGGGTGGCGCAGTCGGTTAAGCGTCCGACTTCAGCCAGGTCACGATCTCGCGGTCCGGGGAGTTCGAGCCCCGCGTCGGGCTCTGGGCTGATGGCTCAGAGCCTGGAGCCTGTTTCCGATTCTGTGTCTCCCTCTCTCTCTGCCCCTCGCCCGTTCATGCTCTGTCTCTCTCTGTCCCAAAAATAAGTAAACGTTGAAAAAAAAAAAATTAAAAAAAAAAAAATTTTTTTTAAAAAAAGAATATTTTCTCCTAGCCCTGAGTATAAAAGCACATAGCAAAGGCCATAGCTGTTGAAATAATTTGGAACAAAGTAACAAGAACACAGACAATGCTTAGAACCATGTGAAGTCTACTTCATCAACTTTTAGGTACTGGATGACTCTTGCTGAAGGCTTGGTTTTTATCTTCAGCATAAAGAATATTACTAATTATCTGTTCTTGTGATAGTAAGTATAATTTGGAAATAAAAATTTCCAGGGGCCTGATATCCTCTCAGCTGGCCAGCTTTCTTTGTAATTTATATCTCCATTTAATGGTAAGTTATTTGTGAGCAAATCTAATGACAAGGATTTGCAAAGTTATTGGGGACAATCTGCTTCTAGATTGGGGTTTCTAAGGGCACATCTGAGTCATGGTTTTATAGGACAAAAACCCTAAGTGGCATACGCATGCCCCCAAACTATAGCTCTCATGGGTCCCTTTCTCATAATTGCAGAATGAGAACAAAGCTGATCAGCTGCACAGTTTTATTGCAAGCGAAGTCAAACCACTAGCAGTTCCAATCCATCTATCAGAAAAGATCTAAGCACTAACAAATATTAGGGCTGTGTTCATGTATTCTTGATTTACAATTTTATGTAAATTTAATGCAAATTAGGCATGGCCCTAGGGCTCCCGTCAGGATTCCAGTGCAGTCAGTGGTGTGGGAAAGTTTGACTGTAGCTTCTATTAATGTGTTATGGAATTGATTATTGCAGCATTTAAATTATTGCTCTCCCAACTCCTCTGATTAATAGATTGAAACTGGAGTAAAATACATCAGAGACTGCCTGGTCCAGAGGTAGTTTAGTCATGTGACCTCTATCTTGGTCCATTTGCGATGGCTGACAGCTTCATTTTATTGCTTGTAAAAAGCATGTCTACGGACTTGCAAAGTTCCTATCATAGTCAAAGCATAGAATGTTTTCCTCGTGGTTTAGTACAGAGTGCTCGAGCTCCATAACATGGTACATCAGGGCTTGGATCTCAGGCAGCCCATTTAAACGTGTAAACATAACCAGAGATGTGTAAATACGTAAATGGGTTAATTTACCAGCTCCCTCAAAACCACAAGCACACATATATTCTCTCTCTGTGTCTCTCTGTCTCTGTCTTTCTGACTCTTTCTCTCATGCACACACACACACCTGCCTCAAAATAAAAGACGTTCTACCATATGCAATGGCAGAGGAAGCCTAGATACCTAGTTTAATGCCAGCTCCATATTACATTATGAGATTCCTACACAATTTTAATACCTTTATAGCCTTTAATGTCATTGGAAAGCCCTAGACACCACAACTGGAAAATGTGTATGTGTATTATACTAAGTAAAATTGGGCAATTTGAGTATTATATTCCTTGGATTCTAGGTGAGGAAACAGAATTGCCTTAAATTTAAGTTACTTGCTCCAGGTCACATAGAGAATTCAGGGAGTAAGTTGGAGCCAAGCAGGCCAGGAATCAAATCTGAAGCACTTTCTACTGGAAGGGAATTTTTTTTGATAGCTTTAAGAACTAAGAGATTTATGTTTAAATCAGCTGTTAGCACCAAATGCCCCATGTCCTTCCCCCTCCCCCATTTTTTTCTTACTTATCTGCATACATTTTAGTTATGAACTAAATGTGCTAATCCTGAGAGGGTTAGAGCTGCAGCATAAGTGAAATTAACTTAAATTATCTTAATATTAAGTGATGGAAAAGAATCTACTAAGTGCCATGTACTTTTATTCTGTTGTGTAGGAGAAATTTTTGTCTACACTTTACCATTTTTCTAATGGTCTAAGAATTAAATTGACATGAAATAGATTAACAGAGAAAATAAAATTTAATTTCATATGTATGGGAAATCCACATAAACATGAGAGTACAAAGACAGCCAGGTACAATGAGTATATATATATATATATATATATATATATATATATCCCAGAACTAAAGAGAATGGGCTGCTGGACTGGGAAGAAAATGGAAGGAAAGCAATTCACAGGAAAATGAAAAAGAGTCTATGTTTGGTAGCAAATATTACTGGGCCATTCAGAAACAATGGGACATAGAGAGGTCGTTGAACAACAGTGCTTACAAGGTTCCTCCTTATCGACCACACCTAGTTCATATTATACTGTAGTTATTTATGGTGATAGCTCTCTTGCTGGAGCAGATCCTCCACCTAAATTTTTTTAAGCAATTAGGGGGAAGGTCAACATTTCTTCCCAAGTCTTTAGGTCTGGATTATTTTCAATTCCAATAATCTGCATGCCAAAGGTACCCATTTTGGTGCAATTCTTTCTGAAAGCTATAGTTCTTTGTCCCATTTGATTCTAATAAAATTATTATTAATTAGATGTCAATAACTTTATTAAAACTGTGCAAAAGCTTAAACTTCAGAGACAATAAGGAGTCTGCCCAAGGCTGCCTGTTCTCTTAGGACAGGGTTTCAAACCCGTATCTATGTGATTTAAGATATTATTGTATTTTTTTAAATCACATTGCTGTGGAAAAAATAAGGAGCAACAAAGCCTATACTTATAAGAAATATGAAGAATGGATCTTCTCCTCCTTGAGACTGAGTCATGAAGAGGGATTTTTCTGACAAACTATATGGACATTGCCATTTTAGATCTTGCACCAGATGGCTGATCCACTTACCCTTAGGGCATTAAATGTGGTGATTATATCAGTGGTTCCATCTCCCGTGCTGCTTGTTCGTACTGTTTCCTCTGCTTCCTACTCTGTGCCTCAACCCTATGTGTTCATCACATCAAAGAATCTGTTTCTAGGTATAGCTGCCACTCTTCTTCCCTCCAACCCCATCGCACCTTCCTTCAAAATGTAAGAGTCTTTTGAATTTTTCAAATTCTGCCTTGCTCACTCTCCATAGTTTCTGTGAATCCAGTTTAACTACCCATTAAATAAATACTGCATTCTTTTTCCTTGCTTAATGGTGAGGCCACCTTTAGCTCTAAGTTGCTATGAGATATCAGTAAAGAATAGCAGTCAAGAATGTGGGCCTTGAAGTCATACTTCCTGCTTCATATCTCAGTTTTCTTTCTTTCTACTTAAATAATTTTGGTGATAAACTACTTTGTTTCTCTAAGGCTCAGTTTTGTCATGTGTAAAATAGAGATAAAATTCAAACTTTAAGTCTGCCTAAGCCTATTGTAAGGATTAAATTAGATGATCTATGTAAGCGCCTAGCCCTGTGTCTGGATATCGTGTGTTTTCTTTCACCCATTAAGATGATAATAATGGTGATGGTGATGATGGTGATGATGGTGATGATGGTGTTATGATAACCATGTTGCTGCTGCTGCTCCAGTATTTGTCAGAAGGCTCACTTTTGCCCTGGGGGTACTACCCAGAATCTAACAGCTGCTTCCATGTATTGCCTGTTACCCTTGTAATAGGCTCTTTCAGCTTTTATTTTAGATCCCTCCCATCCATTTTCTTCAGTTGTCCTTTTCCTTAGCATTCAGTCTTTGGCTTTACTTATTTAGGATTCTAAAAGGCTTCTTAAACCAACATCACTTTTAAATTCTTAGTTACATTTATTAAGAATATTTAAGGAGAAAATTCAGCATGCTTCAGCAACACTTGGAGGGTTTGCTAAATTTTAGATTGGTGAAACTCCCCAGAATTTTTGATTAAGTAGTTCTGGGGACAGGGGCTAATATGCATTTCTAACGTATTCTCAGGTAATCATGATGATGCTGGTATAAGGACCACACTTTGAGAACCACTAATTTGGAAGAATTGTATACCTTAAGAACATCTGGGGAAATATTCATTCGTAATTTCATTTAATTTCAGATAGTGTTATATACCCCCAAATACTCCTAAAGTGTTACACGCCCCCCCCCCCCAAATACTCCTAAGATACTGCAATGATATCCCTGGGCATAAGATAGACGATAGGTAGATTGACAAAAACCTCACATTTCATGGTAATATCTTAGGCCCTCCAAAACTGCTTACCTAGCTTAGTTTTGTCGAAAGAAATTCTCCTCTCTTCCAAAACTGTCCATTTTCAGGTATCGAGGCTGAAAAGAAAATGTTGAGACATAAAAACCACTCTAGATTTCAAAAAACTCAACTTTATAAATTTTTAAGTATTTATACTTTATGTTTCTCAGGTTTTGTTTTCTCAATTCCTTTTCTATGCATCAGCACCATATTAGTGACTATTTAACATCTCCCACATTTTTCTCTAAGTTTTTATCAGTTCATGAGGGTCATTACACATAAAATATCCAGTGTTGAAATAAATATGCTGCATGGTTCACTAAACTCAATATTCAGCTAAATGACATCTCTACACACCTTCCTCATGAGATATACAGGTGAAAGTTTTGCATCAGCAAATATACAAATCAGTAATGATCTCTGGGTTGACTTGTGATTAGTGATATTAAATGTTGCATCTGTGGAAGCAATGAACATTCAAATATGAACATACATTTGAGATACTTAATGAATGGTGGGACTCATATCTAAAGGCAGATAC